ACATGCTGCCAACGTCACAACTGGTGATTTGGAGAGGTGGGGGCTTCGCATTTGTTCCACACAGGCCTTATGAGGATAGGCTATCCTGTAGTAGTAGTGTGTACCTATTATCCTTGGACTGCAGGGACTATTATTTTTGGTAACAAAAATAAGATCTTTCAGTGGCGCCATCTGTTGATGATTCTCTCCAAACAACGACAGCGGGCGGTGACGTCAGAATATTTTGGCGTCCGTTCAAATTGGTGGGTAATGATATGAAATGTTATTTATTTTTTCTTCTTTAACTGTGTCCTTCAGGTACTTATTTTTTCGTTAGACTGGTTTATTTGGATTTCATAAATTGAACAGTGCAATGAAAATAGTTAAATTTAACTATGCTAAAACACCGGATTCTTTATATCATAAAACCCCTGTGTACCAAACTTAGTGCTTCTCGTACATCAGGGTTCTAAGACAAAAAAAATAGTAGATATAGTTAGGGGCGTATCTTAGGGGGCTATAACTGCCAAAAATTAAAGATACGGGTCTCTTTGAACAAATTTTGTTGCATTTATTTCCGGACACCCAGTACATTACAATCAGTAAAACATAACACATATTCCTTATTCCGGTAGATCCAATCATAAAATTTTCGGCAGGTTATGAAGCAACAACAGCCTAGATATCGGGATTTTCAAAAAAAAAAACAATTAAAGATTGCTATGGTTTTTTAAACGTATGTCTTAGCAATATTTTTCTTTAATTTTGTCAATGAACTTTAATGTCAAAATGTCATATCAAAAATCCTGACCAATAAAGAAACAATAATGCGACGTACGTTTTCGTAATTTGATTGTTTTTTTTTTGAAGACCCGATATTTTATATCTTAATTACCATTGAAATAGACTGAATTTGCAATGAAGATTTTCTTTTCTCATTTTGACACCGTTCAATGTCTATCTAGTACCAAAAGTTTTAAAATTTTTGTGCCTACCGGAGCTAAATATTTTGTTTCACGTATTTTATTGTTGACAAGGCCAGGCGCCATTATTATTTTATGTCCCCCAATATTCTTATGATTTTTTTTTTCAATATGATGAGTTGGAAAATAAAATATTACCAATAATAAACCAAAAGTGCGAATTTGGTGCAATATATTAAACCTGGAACGTCCTTTATTTGGTTTTGTATTTGTTTTTAGGTTAGTCATGGTTTACGGCGTTTAGTAAACTTTCAAATCTCGTTTTGCTTGCTAACGCATGTAAGCTAAAATTTGGTAAAGCCTCGCGACCTGCGACGTCGTTACAGCCATGAAATGAATCTCCATTTAGGTGAAAATAAGGGTTGTATAGTCGTCTATTTGACGTCGCGCCCTAACGTCAAGACATCAATGACGACGTTGTTAGGACGTAAAAGCGCTGCTTGGCTTGACTTGACACGCAGGTGATTTGGAGAGACGTCATTAGAAGAATATACCTAGGTTCACCAACATGTTAAAACGTATATGCAGTCTAATCGAGAAACGCCAGATATCTGGTACAACATTTCGATAATCGAAAACTTACTAGCAATACGGGAACTTCAGATGAGGATGAGTCTGACATAGATTCAGACAGCAGCGAGAAGGCTCAGCCGTTGCTCGCTTCAGAAGACGGCGATTGAAACAATATACCTTTTTTATTTTATAAAATACATATATGTCGATTAAATTATTTACTTATTTTACCTCACATTCTAAAACTCTCTTTACTAACAACGGCAATTTTAATTGAACTAATTACTTACTTTCTACGCTTCCACCTAACTGTATGCAACAATTTTCTTATTTAAACTGACTTTGATTTACGCGCTTTGTATAGAAAACACATAAATATTCGAGAATATTCTAGAATCGAGTAAACGCTCGTCTATAATCAAACAATAGAATTCTAGAAAGCTGGCAATCGGAGTTGACTTCTCCGCATCAATGTAATTTCGTAACTCAACTCCCTCTCAAATCAGGATTATTCATTCTCCTCATAAGCCTTCACCCTGTTAGGATGCACCACTTTCTGTTCTAAATCATCCATACTCAGATCCAACGACTCCCGATCATTCTAAATTTATATCTTCATCAGTCCATCTATTGACATGCTCAACATATCTATGCCTGTCAAATGAACTGTGGTTACTCTTTCCATTCACTGGCGTCACGGTATCTAGAAGAATGCTTGTTTACTGCCTCACTGACAGCCGCAAAGTGAATATTTTCCAAAATTCATTACCATACCATTAAAAAAAGTACCAATTAAAAGTTACCACCATTTGCAAATAATGCTCAATAGAATTGAAGCCCCAGTCAGAGACGTCAGAATTTCCAAGTGAAATTACCAGAGGTTCCACACTGCCTCCTCTAAAAAATTATCAAGGTTCCACATTGTTCGCTTTTAAATGTGGCTTCTGCCATTTGTTCAGCTTGCCGAGGCGATTTTTGTTATTGACATCTCCAGAAGTTCGTTACCTTTATTTGCGCCTATATAGGGTGGTCCATTCAACTTGAGACAGTCTAAAATCTCGAAAACTGCGGGTTTTTTAAGAAAAAAGTTCAAACAAAAGTCATATGGTTGGGGAAAGAAAATGGTAGCATTGATTATTTAGGTACTCAGAAACGTTCTCAAGGTTATTCCAAATTCAACTTTTTTTTTTAATGGACTGTCTTAAGTTGAATAAACCTCCCTAGTAAAAGACAAGTGTCGTTCACATACATATTCCTAAGAATGTACCTTGTTTTCCCTAACTATTTTTAGCAGCTCTATTTTGAACATTTCTTTTTTGATTGGATAATTTTTCTGGGACAACTTATGGCTCCTTTTTTTCTATACCACTGTAGCGTCGGAAGGAGCCTAATGCCCTCAATAATACTTCAATTCAATCCGGAATCGATAAATGCAATCATCATTGGCATCTTACAATCCTAATGGTGAAGTTTTTTTCTGAAATTTCAAAATTATTTTCGCATGTTACTAAAATTTAGCTCGAAATACAATACAACTAACATGTTCGCAATGATTTCGAAGACTGCTGAAATCGCTAGGTACCTATATCACAAAAAACCTAGGGATTTTAAAAAGTAGTTGCCACCTGGACTAAAATTATCTTGCTTTTAGAAAAGAACCGCCCAGAAGAATGCTACTATAAAAAAAACAATCTCTACACTTGTAACAAATGTAACAGATCATACAATTACAAGATGACATTCAAAAGGCATTTAAAATACCAATGTGGAGTTCTAGCTAAGTTCAGATGTAAATTGTGCCGCCATCCAAGTAATTTCAAAAGCAATTTAAAAAGTCACCTGATTAATAAACATAGTATTGTTGCGCATAAGAATGACTTAGACTATTATGTTATTAATTTAGATCATAGACAGTAATAATACTTTTTTAATTTTTTTATACAAATGTTACCCAGACGGGCTCGAAAACTTTCGCAAACGTAAATAAAGTTTTTTCGAAACTATGTGTCTTTTTTTGATTCCTGCATGACCACCTGAAAATATTGTTTGAAATTACCAAAGCTTACGGAATACTCACGACGTGCCACAGATGGATGAAGCAGTGAACGTAATTCCAGCATGACAAGATCTCTCTGTCACTATTAACCCAACTACTCAAAATGTAAAATGTCAATGATAGTTCATATTTGACTCTATCCCTGCCAAGATCCGCCCACGCTGCGAATGCCCCGACTATTATGTGGTGATGAATCATTGGTTTTTTACTTCACCTATTTTGGTTCAGAACATCTGATACGCTGCCTGCCTCTAGAAAGTCTTAGGTAGGTAGGTTAGTTAGGAAACCAAATCCCAGCAAACTAGGAATGAAGACTGTTATCAGAAGTAATTAAGTAGCAAAATTCTCAAACCTAAAATTGAGATAGTAACTGAAGTAAGATATTATAATGAAGTTTTTTTGCATTTTCTTCATTTTGCGTGAAACCCTCATAAGAAGCTACTTACAGGCATACAGGGTGTTAGGTTTATTTATTTTTTGGTTGAGAACATCTGATATGCTGCCTCTAGAAAGTCTCACTAGTGAGAGAACCAAATTTCAGCAAACTAGGAATACAGACTGTTATCAGAAGTAACTGAGTAGCAAAATGTTCAAACCTAAAGTTGAGATAGTAACTAAGTGCGGTCGTACACCAAGGAAACATCAAACATGCCACTTGGGACATGAAGTAGATACCGCAGATAGACTTGTGCCGCATATATCCAATGTAAAAACGTACAATGTTTGGGGATCATCGTACACCGGTGCAAAAACGCGTGTGCTGCACCGGTGTACGATCATCCGGAGACATTATACGTTTTTGCAATGGATAAGTATATGCGGCATAAGTCTACCCGCGGTATTTACTTTATGTGGCATGTTGCATGTTTGATGTTTCATTGGTGTACGACCACACTTAAGTAAAATATTATAATGAGGTTTTTTTGCATTATCTTCATTTTGGGTGTAGGGTGTTTTTTGAGTACATTTTTGTATAAATAATTTGTTTGGGCAAACTTTCACCCAAACAATACTGTATAGAAGGATATTTCTATACAGGCTATATTAACTTTAGCGGTATGCAAAAGCTGTATCAATCAAACTGTGCTAACAAATAGAAGCTATTGCTTCTTGTAATAGCTTCAAATTATCAGCCTAATTTACAACATGAAAACTATTTTCAGGTCTAACTTGTACTGCTTGCGGCAGAACTTATCGCTACAAAAGCACACTACGGACTCACCTAAAACTTGAATGCGGAAAAGAGCCCATGAATGCTTGTCACTTATGTAATTACCGGAGTTACCAACCTGGAAACCTTAGGAGGCACGTGATTCTTAAACATAAACTGCCTTGAGAGAGAAATTAAAAATATATTCGTAAAAACAAAAATTGGCTTTTATTGTATTTTGATTTCCTAAAATATTTACCAAAATTTGCTTAATTTGGAGGTTATTAAATTCTCAATTCTAATAACAAATATTTTTTGTAGGTAAACATGAGTCTCCAGGCAAACAACTCTTTAATCCCATAAGCTTTTTTGCTAAAATCAAGCCCGTTACGAAACCACTGATAGACCTTAGCGAAACCGATCAAGAGTATACAACTATAGATGATATACTTGATGTAACTGTCGTAGAGGATTTAGTAGAAGATAGTGATGATGAAGGCTTAGATATAGTAGAAAGAAAACAAATTTTAGATTTGGAAGATTTTAAAGACAATGATGAATTAGATGCCCAATTTAATGTGTTTTGTAGAATGTGTAATACTGGGTTTAGACATATGAGTTCTTTAAGATATCATGAGAAGCATCGGGTATGTCTTAAGCCAAAAAAAGGTAGGTGTGCAATTGATAATCCCATTTGAACAAATATTGTTATGTAAATTTGTTTTAGACACAAGTGACCCTAAGTGTTTAAAATGCGAAAAGGTATTCGCAACTAATACTGGATTACAGTATCACTTGAAAAGAAATGTGTGTGAACAAATTAAAGGTAACCAGGCTTCCTTGAAAAACTTTATTTTTAAATTTACATAAAAATTCGTACTTTCAGAGGAAGCAATCCCAAAAGTCTATCAGTGTAAGCAATGCGATAAAATTTTTGCAGCAATAAGTGGCTTAGCTTACCATGTGAAAAAAAAAGTTTGTGAGCAACCGCCTGAACAACCGCCAAAAGGTAAGTTACCAACCGAATTTTTCAAAACTTTAATTATTTTTTTTTAGAGGATATAGTATATAATTGTGAAAAATGCGATGCCATTTTTAAGCGTAAGCATTCTCTAGCTTACCATATGCAACACAGGGTCTGTTTGAAACCACAAAAAGGTAAATTAGTCCATTTTAAAAACCATATATCTATATTGATATATTATTTCAGAAAAAGTCGACCCAGAAAGTCTGGTATGCAAATTATGCGAAAAACTATTTACATCTGCTAGTTCCTTAGAGTATCACGTGAAAAATCAAGTTTGCACCAAGGAACCAAAGGAGCCAAAGAGTAATTTGAATACTCCTTTAGTTATATGTATACCTTACATTTTTTTTTTGTAGTTCCAGAAGAAGAAGAAGAAAAAGAGTGCCATTTATGTAACACTATTTTTGCCCATTCACGTTCGCTTCGGTATCATTTAGAGCACAAAGTGTGTTTGAAACCGAAAGTTGGTGAGTACACTTCAAATTTATGATTTCAAAAATCACATATTCTATTTTTTTACAGTCAAAACTGAACCAAAAGAAGCAAAATGTGAAAAATGTGAAAAGGTATTTAGCGGACATCTGGCCTTAGAGTACCATACAAAGAGAAAAGTTTGTGAACAACCACCAGTTGGTAAGGATAATCAATTAATTTTTTCAATTAACTATTAATTTAATTTATCACAGAGAAAGTGGAACCAAAACCAGCAAAGTGTGAAAAATGCGAGAAAGTATTTAGCGGTAGGCATGCTCTAGAATACCATTTAAAAAATAAAGTTTGTGAACAGCCGGGTAAGATATTTTTTGCTAAATAAAAGCGCAAAGTTTGTATAAGTTTTAATTTTTACAGTAAAACCGGAAATTATCCAATGTGAAAAATGTGAAAAAGTTTTCAGCAGTTTCCATGCTCTAGATTATCACATTAAAAGGAAGGTTTGTGAGCAAACTAGGCCAGTTATTCAAGGTAAATTGACTAGTAGTTGTAAGGAATTTTCTATGCACAATTATACATTTTAGGCCCGCCTTTTTATTGCGATATATGCAATACAGCATTTACATTAAAACAAACTTGGTATCTTCATGTAAAGAGACAAGCATGCATCAAATATCCGGAAAAGTATATGCAAGAAGGACGAGCTTCTCCTCTCCTAAGTATTGTAAAAGTTGAACCTTTATCTGAAGAGGAGGAAGTTGAAGAAGTGGAAGATGTTGAAGATGTTGAAGACGTTGAAGATGTTGAAGATGTTGAAGATGTTGAAGAAATTGAAGTCAATATGGAAGAAGTTGTCAAAGAAATTGCAAATATTGAATAGTGACGAAAAAGCTAAGAACTAGTTTTTAAATGAATGCAATAAATTCCAGCTTACTTGCAAACGAAAATTGGAAACAATTTGCACATATTCAAATCAGTAGCCACTCTGAGCGTCAGAGATTTTTAAGACTTGCAGATTCCTAGGAATGGTGTTATCCTGATATTAGTGAATTTGTCCATATTCTTGCATGTTCCACTCTACTCTTCAAACACATTTCTTAGATGTATAGGTTATCCCTTCAAACTTTTTGTGCATTTTCCAATTAGGCTATTTAATTTTACATACGTTTTCCAGATCGTTTTAAAATAAATTTTATTAAGATAGAGCAGAGATATTGGGTTGATGACCTTGGAAATAAAACTCCCTCTCTTGAAAAATTATTCCGACGTTTCGACCATGTATCAGAGGTCTTCTTCACAGGCTATTTTACCAGCAAGAGAGTTTCACGTCAAAATGTATTTAGAATATATTACAAAACACTGGGAGACACAATGTTTTGAAAAACAATTTTTTTTCCATTAAATTAACTACAGAAATTCAGTTGCGAGGTAATTTTTTAAGAAAGGAAGTTTCATTTCCAAGGTCCACAACCCATTATCTATGCTCTATGTGGATTAAAGAAGGACGTTATGTCATCTCTACATTAAATTTTGATTAGGATTTAAGTTTTTAATCGGAGATATCATAAGATATTCATGTTCTGAGTTTCAATTTCAAAAATAAGTTTTTAATTCGCTAGCCCATTGAAGGTGCATGAGCGCAGTTCCAGACCCAAGAAAAGAAGGATGACTTGGGAGCAAATACCTCTGCGATATAAAAATCGCAATTTTTTTTTTATATTTTTTAACATAAAAATAGTGAATATGTAAATACATAATATTACTTGATGTATAATTTTGAATATTACGTAGGTATTTAGAATAAGAATATGGCATTACGTTATTTTAATAATAAGTATCTATATATTATGTAGGTACTTTACCCATGTAAGGAAAAACATTGTAGGTTTTAGGTAATGACCTATCACAAATAGACGCTACAATAAACAAAACTGTGTGTAGCCAAGATCTCTATCAGATGATTTTAAACCCTCTTACCTGGTAACAATGAAATTATTTCTTGTTAATATTTTGCTCACAAAAGCATAATTCTTAAAAACATTTGTTCGAGCTAAAAATTTACTTAATCAAGCAAATTTTTATAATTTGTGGATTTTCACAAGCCAGAACATGAATGCTGTTATCGACTGGTTGGCTACAGTTTGCCTGTAGCTTCACGCTAACTTTATCACTGTCACAAGCAATGTATTTTGAATGATGTGAAGGCAGACAGAGAAACGAGAAGTGTTCCGAGTATTCTTTACTTTTAACTGCCTGTCAAATACTGTGTACCTATCCCTACTATTATCTGGCATCACGACAAGTATCAGTTTATTGATGATATGTTCAGTCTATCTGTGATAATAAGTCATTAATTTTAAGTAGGTAATAAAATTATTCAACTACCAGAGACTCAGCGTTTTTAATTTTCTGTGAATTTCGAAAACCCGTTGATGATGATGGTATATGTGAAATAATCAGTTCAAAACCTATGACCTCAAAATTCTAAAACTCATTCACATTATTAGAAAATTGGGTTGCAGGTGAGCGAGGGCACGTAATGTAAGACCAAGACCAATTTTTGGAAATTTGCTCCTTAGTAGTGGAAAATGTTTGCAATAGTGGCATGTTGCTGTTATGAATATTTTTGGTACTAATAGATACCTGTAACCCAGAGCTGTCCAGTACTCGAGTACAAGTACTCTTCACTTGTACTCTAAGTACATTTTGAGTTCCTGACATTATGTTACGATACGACCAATTTTCTGGCATTTCTTGTTTAGCGTACAGATGTTTGGCATTCGTTCCGTTGATCTTTGTGATTTGCAAACGAAAATCTGGAACTTTTCTGTGCACTGTATCACTGTGTCTGTGACCATAAATTCGAAAATTCTGAGCCCTTATAAACTCTGGACTCTGGGCTAACCAAGTACCAAATTTTAAAATTGCTGAATTGATTTATAGTAAACCAAAATGTGTTTTTGAATTTTTGATGTGTAAACATCTATACCGGCGGTCTGAGGGTAAATTTCGGGAATTGGGACGGAATTGTGAAAAGGGATGTCACGTAGCTACTTCAGCGTTTGCGGCCTAAGATGGCATTAGATTTTCATGTCAATGATCAAGGCTGCTTAAAAGAGGAGGTTGCGTAATAACTTTTATGACGTCATTATGCAAGGTGGCATTAGATGTATTCATAAATGTACTCGGTACTTTGAGTACTTGGGTATTGAATACCTGTAATTGTATTCTGGGTACTTGTACCCGGTACCCGAGTACATGTTGCCTGTACTCGGAGCATCTCTGCTGTAACCAGATAATAGATAATTTTAACCAAGTTTTGAGCCAGAAAAAAACATTCAATTAATTTCAACTAGGGGTTTTTAAAAAATGTATAATTACATTCGCCGAAAAGTATTCTGATGTTAGAGAATAGCCAAAGAAATTTTTAATCAAGGATTAAACATCATATGAGAGGTATAGGGCGAGGGAAGAAATAAAATAGTAGGTAGTCGTATTCTCAGATTTCAGCCCAAGCAATAGTTTTTTGAACATAGATCAGCAAACAAAGACTTGCAAATGCAATTCCTTCTAATAACAGTTTGTGGACAGGTTTTGCACATCAAATAGATTCAGATGTCGACATTATATCAGTAAAAAGGGGATTTAAATTCCATTAGATCATGTCTATCTTGTCGATCCCTTCGTCAACTTTTAAGGTTTTTAATTATTATGATACACTCGGTAACGTTTGACAGTTACACGATTACCGATATCTGGGAAAGTAAGTAGGAAATCGGGATACATTCATTATTGATAGCTGTTGTGGCATTAGATTTACAGAAAGTGGTACTGTGGCTCGAAAGTTCGTTGTAATTACAGTAGATGGAGCTAAGCGCCTTGAGAGCGGCTTGGCTGACAGAACATATTTTTTTGGTTTTGTGAGTTCGAGATCGAAGAAAAGGGATTGATTGATTGAACCAAAAATTAGAGAGTATTAGCATTAGGTAGTCTGGACTTCCAAAACCTTGAAATGCATGACAGCGTATCTGAAAAAGTACACACAAAAAACCAACAACTTAAAACAAGAATAAGCAATTTTATTTGAGAATATCTTAGGATTGTATATTCGCAAGAAAATAAATGTTTGGAATGAGAATATTATATTCTTGTTTAAATATCATCATAAATTGCGTTCAAGTCAATATCAGATCAAATAAATAATATACTTCTTATTTCGAGAACTTACTTAAACTTCATTTGAGAATACCCCATTCTCACAAAAAGTAACTTGTAATTTTAAAACAAGCAAAAACATTATTTACTTTAATTTTATTTTTCTTTGCAATAAACTACTTTACCTACTTATTTATTATGAGATTTTTTTTTTCAATTTAAGCAACATTTCTATTACCAGTGAAGTTATAATAGAATCATTTTGAGATATGTTTTAACAAATCAGGTACATTGTATCATCAATGGAAGTTAATTTGAAACTTGGTTTAAAGGTATGAAAAATTGCTTTGATCCACATTGTAAATTAAATAATTATTTGAAAGTATTAATTTAAAATTATTCTGCTGTCATAAATAAACATGTGAATTTTTTAATTACATGATAGAAATTGTAAGTGAGCAAGTTCAAGTATATAAGTAGAAGTATGGAGTTCAACTATAAGCATCGATCTGAGCTTTGAATGATTTGAATGGGCTAAATGGATGATATTTGTATTTTTAAATTCATAAAAAAAACAACTCTTTTATTTTAAAATGTCTTTTATTCTCAAAACCTACATAAACACAACAAATATCAATTTTCAAACTAACCCTAAGTAACATAATATAGAAAAAAAATACAGATTTTTGAAAAATAAACATAAAGAATTCTAACATTATCAAAGATATTGATAGGGCGATAAAAGTGTAGATATCTAAAAAATAAAGAAAGATCTAAAACAGATAAATATGCATTTTATTAAAGGGAGTAATACATTTGGTTCTTTTTAAGATTAATTTTTTACTACACATCAGGATTTTTCAGATTTCTTTGACATGATCATACCTCGGGCAGCTCCCATTCCCGTAATAGATTTTCCATGGTACCTATATAAGTTGATACAGCACCATAAACCAGACAAAAAGAAATCATATCAGAAAGAACCCGCAAGCAAACGTCGCATCAATTAAAAAAACACACAAACGATATAAAAAAGCAAATAATTAGAAAATAGTATAATGGTTGCTACCTGTTACTCTTCCCGGTTCCTGTCTATGCAAGTCTTTTTGCACATAACAAAATGGAAGAGATGAACCAACAGAAGTTTGTTTTAAGAATATAATACTCAAATACATGATATTTTATTCGAAATAAGTATTTGTGTTCAGTAATTTTAAAAGTTTAACTGAAGTATCAAATATACGATAGGAGAATATATTGGTTTGAAATTATGTTTTATTATATCAAATTAATAAAATCTAACGTGTTCTTTTGAGAATACATTTATTTGAGCTAACATTATACAAATACTTTAAATGAAAATATATTCTTTACTTGAACGAACATTTCAAATATTTTGTTAACTATTTTTAATTGTTTCCAATTTCTCCCTTTGAAGATATTTGTTTCATCTGATACAAAATAGTTCTTGGAAAAATGAGAAAAAATATTTACTTGATCTGAGTAATCGTTTTTTTCTGTGTATTCACAGTGGGGCACTTGAAACCCTAGGCAAATACGAAAAAATTGACAAAACACAAAAACCTTATTGGTGGGATGAAGAAATCGAGAAAATCAACAGTAACTAAGTTCAACTGAAACAGGAGAAAAAGGAGTATTGAAAAAGCGCAAGGAAGCAGAAAGTGGGAGAATAATAGAAAACATCAGGACAACAAAAACCAACGATATTATCACCACAATAACACCCTAGCAATGGAGAGAGTATTTCGCAGAATTACTGATAGAACAACGGGCAGAGTTTGAAGAAGAAAGCGGACAGTCCCAAGACATGGAAAAGCACCAGGAGAAGGAGAAATAATATTGAGAACTGATGAAGTATGGGATCAATGAACTTCACAGATACTTGACAAAAAAACCATTCCAAACATGCACCTTAGGCTCCAGGAAACGTGGGAAACAAGCTATTTGACAACGATATATAAAAAAAGAGAAAGACCAAGAGCTTCATTTACTATTTGTGGCTCTAAAAAAAGCATATGACAATATCCTACTAAAAAAGCTATGGGAATCACTAGAAAAGGCCAATTTTAGCTTAGAACTAAACTGATAAAGACAGTTGAAATGCTCTATAGTGTCGCAAACACCAAGACTAAACAGAATAGCTTAATCGCCTTAATCAGCAAGAGCTTTACAGCAGCTAAAGGACTTGAACAGGGAAGCTGCATATTATCAAAACATTTCAAAATCTGCTTACTTAGTACTTGGAATAAGCGCTTGAGGGGTGGAAGAAGAAATGCAGACTCATAGAGATACTGCTCAATAAATACAATATATACTCTTAGCTTTGAAGATGAGCAAGTATTAATTGTGTTGAATTATGATAACCCAGAGTACATGAAACGTAAATTGATAGAGAAATACGAGAAATGGGGTTTGGAAATAAATCTGTCGAAAACAGAAGGAGTAGAACAACGAAACCTGAAGCTGAATAATAGGACAAGAAAGCAATGTAAATAAGTAGGTACCGATAAGTATTTAATATTATGTATGTTCTATATTTTATGCAAGTCAACGCTTTTGTAGAGAACTGAGATGTAGAGAGATAAGTTTTAATTCAAATAATATGTTAAGTATGTAATTGGAGACGGAGGAAGAATTTTATTTATTCATTGATAATGAATTTACTAGTAAAGGTTACAGAAATGACAAACAACAATAATACTTTCTCAATATTTAAACCAAGGCGAATTCTTTCCATTTTTCCTCTTCAAATTTATAATTTGCATAATTTTTGGGGAGTAACGATTAAAATAATTGGGTTTTCCTCTTGATTAATAAATAAGTATTAATTGCATTTAATTTACTTCTGTTAGTATGAAAAATCCCAATTCAAAATTTACCTATATGATTATATTTTTTTATATTTATTCTCGTATGTGTCATATTGACTGAATGTTGTCATGTTTTTTTTTTGTGTTAGATTTTTCATACATAAATTTGTAGTATTATTATTATTACGGAACATTAACTTAATCTAAGTCGAGAAACCACCCATTACGCATTTTATGAGCAAGATTCTGTGACGCAGGTCACTGTGACGCAGGTCACATTTGGATTCCGCTCAATTTAATATCAGGTTTGTGCTCTCCAAATTTTATTTATTTTCTGAGGCAGATCTTTAATTAAATATTTCAGGACTATCAGAAACTAGGTACCGTACTGCCCATGATTATAACTAACGTACTGCCCATGATGTTATATTTTTTTCCATTTTCTATGTATTATAAGTGAGACTCC